TTGTTTGTCCAAATTAAGCTAGCGAGATATCGTTGTAATATGAATAAAAATTACTAAATGCAAACATTTCGTAAAGTTGACGGTTTTCATGGAATTTGGTATCAAATATTTAAAAAGATGCTATTTGTAAACAGTACAAGGGGTTTTATTCATGTTTTGCAAAACAATAGTGGTCAATAAGATAAACATTTTAAAAAGTTTCAACGCTGTAGCTCAAACATTAAGGTAGTCATGAATGTTTATAAAAACTAGCTGTTACCCACGGATTTTGCCCCATTTGACTTCATAAGTATTAATAAAACTATTGATTGGTTAAGTTAAGTAAATTAAAGCTGAAATAAACAAAGCATGAACACAGTAAAACAAAAAAGTACTCACACGCGTTTTTAATAAGGTATAATAAATTAAAAGAATGACATACAAATAAATACAGCTGAGGTATTTTTAACATTATGTATATGGAAAGTCCCATTAGAAAGGAATTACGACCTTAAAGGTCAATTTATATAATAATGGATAGTTTTGCGCAAGGTTTCTAGTCATGACGAACATTTTAAGTATATTGTTTATAGGGTGTGACTTGTAGTTTTCTCAGAAGTTCAAGGGTATATATGGATCACAAACAGACAGATAGATAAAAAACGGAATGATATAAGACACGTGTTATATCACATTTCTTTGTTTCTTTTGACATGCTGAATAACGTGATAAAGTTTGTTCATGGTTGCAAGACACCCTGTATATTGAATAACTCATGAAATGTTGATGGTACTTAATAGTACTTTATGGTTCTATATCTTAAAAATAATGAAATATTATAAAATAACCCATTACTAGTAATATAAATTTTAAACTTTTAATACTAATCTATTAAAGTAAAATTATAAAAGAAACCTTCTTTAGCAATAATAAAACATAATTACTCCTGATAACAATTATTTATGAATGTATCCCAAAACAACACCCAATATTTACTGTTCACATTACGTTTAGTTCGCAACTGCACGATAATAGATAAGCTAACATTCAAAATAACGAGTTATAGACTGTCATCTGCTTACTACATAACAGTGTAAAATCCTTGATAAATAATTATTTTTGTCAAGCTAAACTGGTTTAATACAAAACCGATTTTAATCATAATAATTTGTTATGATTGGTAGGTACTCATGTTACATTTTGTCTACGATAACATTCTATTTAAATGTACGAGGCAAAAAGACAACTAACCTTGCCAGTTTACCCTTAAATTAAATATTTTAATACGCAATAGACATACCTCAACTTAATAAAATGTTTTTAAATCTTAAAAAGTTACAATTTTACGATTCTAAAATGTTTACTCATTTATTTAGGCCTTATCTCTTGCACTGTGTAGAAAATGGCAATCAACCATATATTTTAAATTTTGCACAATAAAATACAATTTCGTGAATATCTCACTTTGTTACCACCAATAAATTTCATGAAAATTTGCCGGGCAGTCCTTTGAAAACTCAGAATCATAACATACACCTGTTTTGTCACCATTCATCTTATATTCTTTTGTCAAAACGTGTTGCGACAATATTTTCTCTAACAATTCATTCTTTGTGACAGGCAGGATGGAGTATGTTTTGATGCTATGATAAAGCATGTTAGAATACTGAAATCGCCACTGTGTGAATATGTCACGAATTTATATGTAAAAACATTTTCAGCTTAATATAAGTTTTCGCTTAACGTAAACAGATTAATATTATATAAGTATTAATATATGTATTGTATTATAAGTATTAGGAATGAAAGCATTTACTATAATGTATACGATTGTTTGACCAATACTAGTCACTAGAATTGGTAAGCATTACCACCGAACTGATGTGTCCTTCCTAATATAAAGCTAATACTGAATATTTAAAGATTATACAACATGATTTAACATACCTAAGTATCTAGTCAGGCAGCACTAGAATGTATGAGTGAAAAAATATGCGATGAAAAAAACTAATTAAAAAAAGTCCTGCTTTAAAGTAAGCATGTTAAATATATCCCGAAACACAGGATATTTACTGTTCAGTTTACTGTTATTTCGCTACTCGTCGAGAAGAGATAAGCTAACATTGGACTGGGACGATTTAAAACTGTCATCCGCTCATCACAAAAATCCTTGGCGTAAACATTTGTTGAAATAAGTTATTTTAACTCTGAAGTTATTTAAGATAAGTAAACTCAATATTAATTATTGAGCTAGTCAGTGACTATAATTTTACGGTATCCATAATGAGAAATGGCAAACATAAATATTAAAAACCATCTGACTGCTCAGGTATCAAGTTTGCTATTAGGTTGAATATATTTTAATAAAATATGAATAGTTAAATAATAATTAATGCCAATGGACAGCAACTATTTTTAAGTAGTGTAAAAACGCTATTCACAGCATGAGGTGCAGGAGCAACCCCCAATTGTACCATAGGACCCCACCATGTGTACATGATATTTTACGTTTCACCTGTTTTGGATACATATGTTTTGGATATATATGCTATTTACTGCATGAGAAGCAATGTGTAAAAACGCTATTCACTGGATGTGCACGAGCAACCCCAATTGTACCATAGTACCCCACCATCTGTACACGATATTTTCTGTTTCACCTGTTTTGGTTTGAACATATAAAACACTATTCACTGGATGAGGAGGAGTAATACTGTGTACTGTTCATGGTTAATGATAGTTCTTGTACTTTACAAATCTTATTACTTGATTGCTTTGCCTTGAATATATATTTTGAGTGAGGTATTGTGATTATTACCGTGTACTGTTTATAGTTTATGATATTTTACTGGGTGTTATTGAACTTAATAAATCTTTTTCCTTGATCATGTACCTGTTTTGGTTTGAGTGTAAAATGCTATTCACTGTATATGAGGAGCAACACCGTGTACTGTTTATAGTTTACGATATTTATTGAACTTCATAAGTCTTGTTACTTGATTGCTTTGCCTTGAATATATATTTTGTAGGGGGTTTGTCATCCTGTACTTTAAATACGTTGTTGTGTGTCCATTGATTTCATCTACACATTGACTAGTGAAAGGAAAAGTGGTCCTGCCAGCTGTCCAGACCCACCATCCTTCTCTCGTCTCGTGACCTCCATCCTTATTTCCAATGACACTATTATTCTAAGTGAAATAGATTAAAAGAAAATAAATTTTAGTCTAACCAGTTGAATATAATTATTGGTGCTGCCATGAAATGATGGGTGGGGGTTTAATAATAACTCCAAAATGAATGTCTAATAATTCTATAATTTGTCCTCAAAATAACCATTTAGATGATATATGAACAGTAATTCAGCAGGGGTAGCTTAGTCTATAATTATGCTCGCATCATTATGTTTGGATACATATAAAATTAACAATTGATTCTAATTGCTTCAAGTGTATAAAGGCCTACAAAATCATTCTTTGAGTTTAGTTACTTTTAAATTGTTATATTTGATGAAAACGTAATATCAAAAACTTTGTAATTCTTTGGAAAACACTTGTAATAATTGAGTCTTTAACGATGGTTAATTAAATCAGACAAACTGACAACATCTGGCAAGCAGTTTAGATACATATAAAATTAACAATTGATTCTAATTGCTTCAAAAGTATATACAAAATCATTCTTTGAGTTTAGATACTTTTAAATTAATATATTTACATAATATTAAAAGCTATGTATTTTGTAATTCCTTGGAAAACACATGTAATAATTGAGTCTTTAACGATGGTTAATTAAATCACGCAATCTGAAGACATCTGGAGAGCAAATAAATGGATATAACAAATTAATGAATAATGTTTTTCTAATATACTTTAGATCCTGTACATGAATACACATATAATACAACCCTGTACAACAAACATTATCACAGGAACCAACACACCTAACTAGTACAATGGATTGATAAGCAGTGGCATTACATGTGGGAAATTCAACATAAAAAAAAAATAATAAACAATCATCCTTGAAAGTAATAATTAACTACGTGATTATATTACAAGATACAACAACATAATACATATATCTCAGTGGCACCAAGTGCGGGGAAAATTCAACACAAAAATAATAAACAAACATAATAAACTACGTAATGGTATTACAAGATAGTGGCACCAAGTGCGGGGAAATTCAAAATAAACAATCATAATAAACTACGTATTGGCCTTACAAGATAGAACTCAGTAGCACTATAAGCAAGAAAAATAATAAAAAACATCCTTGAAAGTAATAATTAACTACGTACTGGCAAAATCATTATTACAAGTTAGTGGCACCAAGTGTGGGAAATATAAAATAAAAATAATAAAAACATCCTTGAAATTAATAATTAATATAGGCTAACAAATAACTGACCTTGCAAGATAGAACATACATATAGACTCTTTTTATTTGTTAATTCTCATTTCAAATTTCACTACTTTCTCAAAACACTGTCCTGAATTTTTGGCCTCACATTCCCCACGCTCCGTTAAAAGTTTATTGAAACCACTCTCAATTTCATTAGCTATACTACTCTCTACTGTTAGGATGATTGATTTAGTTTTAAAATTCAATTTACTAACATCGCCATCTTTTGTGTATTGGGATTCTATGTAAAATTGAAATCTAACTACCTTGTTTTTCTCTACATTCTTCCTTAGTATTTCTTGAATCTGCTCCCTCAAGTCCTCAAGGAAATCTTCCATACTTCTACATGTTTCCCCGATGTGTTGGACACTCCATCTCTCCACCTTTCCTTGAAAAGCACTTCTAACAAGAACTAGCTCCATTCCTTTTTATATATCTGAAAAATTCGGAATAATTAATCTTGGTCGGGTTTTGGGATAGCATAGTGTCCGAACGCAAGAGTATCAATTTTGTTTGGTAAAATGTACAGTTTTTTATCATCTGGATTTAAGCATAGCTTTTTCTGTTTGATTAGGGATACTGCCCCCTTTGAAGATGATATTCGTACATTATCTAACCATAGTCCAGTTTTAGTTTTTTCTTCCTTAGGTCGTGTATTAAAGAGGCTATCTTTATAGTCTTCAAAGTCCACCTCTTTCTGTACTACTCTCTTCTGTGTTCCTTTGCTTTTCTTCTTGTTTGTTTCTTCGATTTTCTTCTTTACATCAAACTTCTTGGTGGCGTACTCCTTACTGCGTAGACCGACAAACTCTGTTAAAATGTTGGGTGCTAGTTCATCTTTGAACTTACCAAGGACCAGTTTATTTTTTAAAGAATGTAAAGGATGTTTAGGGTCGTAATTCCGGGTGTCAAGCTCATTCAAAATTTTGGGGTCGTTAGCTATGTCATTGTATAGGTCTTGAGTGAATATAGTCATAGCATATGCATCGGTATCTTTGTAGTTGATTTGTATGTTGTCCCCGTATTTAGGTTTTAGAACATCATAGTAAAAAGAAAATAAGTGGACTTTACTCAAATCAAGGACTGCTGCACCAATGAAGATGGGTTTGTCAAAAATGATTGTCTTCGGGGCCATATTATACATTACAAGACTTTCACCAAAATCAAAACTGTCTATAAACTGCGGGCTAAATGATAGTTTGCTAGCTTGCTCACAAGTCGTTGGAACTACTACTCGGATCCATTTTTCAACTCGTTCACAAGTCTTCCCTGCAAAAGAAAAACAAACATTTTAGGGTGGGAAATAATTAATTTTTAATACTGTACATGACACTTTGTGAATAATAAGATTTAACCCCATTAAAATGTGTAGATTTGCAAACTGACTTTATATCACCAGTGGTTTTTAAAGTTCCCGTGTTATCCATATTATTTGTCAGCTAGATAATTTAATTTTTGTTAATATTTAAGGAAACATGTGCTACAGACATGAAATATTTAAATACCATTTGAATTTGGGTTGATGTAAATATTACAATGGAATAAAGTGAAAAAATTATAATATTAAGTAAGAGGAGTCTATAAGAAATGTTGATTATATCGAAGTGTTATGTACATCGTGAGTATTTCCATAATCTTTGAATCCACTATCAGAAATTATGGCTGTTATTTGTTTTAAAATATACTCGAATTCAATCAACAGGTACACTTACTACTTATCTATGAATTTTTGACATGTGAGTAAAAATCTAGGTGTTAATTGACATAATTAGTAAAATTTGTGTGAAAATCTAGGTGTTAATTGACATAGCTTGTAAAATGTGTGTGAAAATCTATGTGTTAATTGACATAACTTGTAAAATCTAGGTGTTAATTAACAAAAATTTTCTACTCACCGTATAAGGCATTGTTCATAAGCTTCCAAAATTCCTCTACAAATGGGTTGCCTGACTCAATCCTCTTTTTGGTGGTCAATTCGACATAAGGAGCGATGTATGGGGATTGCTTGAACTTGATTCCTCTGTGGATCTTGGTGAGAATTAGTCCGTGTTCCACAGCCTGCTGTAGAGCTCGGTAATGGCAGACATACTTCGTCCTCGAGCCAAGTGTCTCCATTAGCATATTTTGTCCATCAATCACTTGGACCTCGGGTAGGAACGGCATGTCGTTGTGAGTGTCGTGTAGGTGATTGGAAGTCCGCCTCCAAAAAGTAGCCGGTGTCTGAGTCGGGTGGTAGTTGTAGGACTTCTTTCACTAAATCGTCATTCCCCTCAACCCACGCGAAATCACTAATTGGTAGGTGTTTCGATAAACAAAATCCATATAAATTATTGGCATCAATATACCATAAATAAGAGGTTGGTTTCGTGGGATCGTAGAGGTGTTCCATGTAAGGGTTATTTGCACGGCTTAAGCGGTGTGAGCATCCCACTAATCCTCCACGCATTCCTCTCTGAACAAACTTGACCATTTCTAGGTCAGTTAACAAATCGATTGTCACATTTGTATAACGTAACATGGCATCAAAGGTCAGTCCTGGAGTACTTACATAGTATAGTGGATCGAGTTGGAATTCCCTCATTGACATTGATCTAAAGTCCTCAAATACATCTGCCAATAGTAAAACGTCACACATCTGGTAAATCATGACATAGTCCTTTAGGGTTTTGCATTCAAAAACTCGCCAAATCGATTTTGCGTGTTCATAATTTTGTGGATTTATGTCTTCATCTGTTAAAATGGAGTAAAATGATTCCATTGGAGGGAGAGATGTTTCTTCAAGTTTAGAGAGTGAAGAGAGATAGTCGTAGGGTAGAAAGCCTTTAGTGGTTATAAGATTGAATGTTTCGTCCTCAGGAAAGTATTTACGTGATAATGCTTTTTTTATTATCACTGAGAAAGCTACTCAGTTTATCCAAAGAGAAAGAGAGGAATCGGTAACTATCAATAAATTGAACAGTCATGCCACCCATTTTCTTAGTGAAACTTATAAAAGTGTCTGTTGTGTGGGGAATGACTGTAATTTTACCATCTTGTTTTCCTAATTCTGGAATAATGAAATTTGCATCGTAGCGGGAGAGGTTATGAACGACGACATTTACAACCCTCTGGTCTCTGTAAAAAAGATTACAACGATTGTGGGCTGCTCCATAAAATCGGCCAGAGACATGATCATGCGAACGTACCTTTTTATTTCTATCATCAAAACCTCCTCTTAAACATATGTGGCATGTAGTGGCCAGGTCGAACTCATGTTGTTGTTGATCAGTAAGTTCAGGGACATCTCTTATTCTCTTTGTATATAACACCTTTTCAATTTTTTCTATATCTTCTTTTAGCATGTTAAATAGCTTGCTTGGAGCATGAAGACCACAGTAGGCTCTGTAGTTGGTCAGCATGTCACTTTCTTCATCTTTTAGTAAATATCCGAATGAAAAGGGGATATGTTTTTGTAGAACAACGGTGTTACTAGATGATCCGGTTTCTTCAACAGGTGTTGTCAATGATTCAAAATCCAGATAAATTGTGAATCGTTTCTTTCTAAGATTCTCAAAATTCCTGAAGTAAAGCTTAGTTTTGTTGCCCTTTGGAGTGTCATTAAACAATGGGCCGCCACTAATTCCTTGACAAAATTCTGCGTGTCTTTTGAGCTGTTCTTCTGCTTTCTTGTTAGGTGTGTTGTAAAAATAAGCCCTACATCTTCTACACATTTTTACAAAATGTCGGTGTTTTGATATCCTGTTCCTTAGTAATCCTTCAAAGTCCAGGATTAGGTGGTACACATTTCCCACTCTAATCAAATCAAAGTGTTTGTCTTCCTCTACAAAGCCAACACTGGTGATATAGGCAGGAATTAATTTTCCTTCATGAATAGAAAAAATTGACAGCGAAACACAATTCCTTCTCTCAAAGCTAGGAAAATCTGTTACATTTTCCCCCCATTCAAATACAGTAGTATTATCCTTAGAAGAAATTGCATACTTAAAAGATTCTTCTCTATTTAGTTCAGGGGGAGATTTTTGGATGTATTTCGTGTCTAAGGATTTCTCACTAAAGCACTGATGAAGTTCCAGCTCTTCTTTAGTCTTGAATTTGTCACTACATATGCGACAGAAATAACAACCTCCTGCCATGTTATGGATAAGTTTGAGATGTAAAACTAAAGAACTGTTGGTAGCAAAAGTCTTACTACACAACCTACATTTAACTCTTTTAGGTAAGAACCGATGTTTAGTTCCAAGGTGAGCTAGAAGACCTTTCTCAGTTATAAATTTTCTAGGGCATCTTTTACATTGGAAATTGGTTGATTTTACTTCATGTTTTTCTTCCAGATGACGTTTGAAGTTGTCAAGTAGATGAAATGAGCTCGTACACTTTGGACAGTAAAAACGACTCTTATGAAGGTTATGCTTCAATCTATTGTGTAAGCCAATGCTTCTTTGATTCTTGAATATTTTTGGTGGCGTACACAATTTACACAATATTTTAATGTTTGAGTGGACATTTTTGATATGCTGTGTCAAATTAGATTGGAGTGTGAATGTTTCATCACAAATGCCACAGTTAAATACAGGTGTATTTCTTGCATGTTTAATAGCAATATGTCGTCTCAAGTTAGATTTTCGTGAGAATGATTCTTTACAAATCTCACAGATATACGAGTATACAGGTGTATTTCTTGCATGTTTAAGAGCAATATGCCGGGTCAAGCTAGATTTTCGTGTAAACTTTTCTTTACAAATCTCACAGATATATACAGGTGTATTTCTTGCATGTTTAAGACCAATATGCTGTGTCAAATTAGATTTTCGTGAGAATGATTTGTGGCATATGTTACAGTTGAATGTTGAGGATGGAAAATTATGTGATTGATCTTTGTGACGTTTAAGGTTGGATTTTCTGTTGAAGGACAGGTCACAGATGTCACAAATAAACTTCTTATGGATAATTTGTATATGACTATCCAGCTCATTTTTCGTTGCATATGCATTTGAACATAATAAGCATGGGACAAACCCAGTATCTCCGAAACTAGATGTAGATGGTTGTGGGTCGTCCATCTGTCCTAAAAGGAAAAAAAAGAACGAAATAGAAAGAAGGTTTTGAATCAAAATAAAAACAAACATTAGATAGAATGATGACCCAGAGTCGAGGTCCATTAATGCAAAGTGAAAACGAAACTATGCCCCTCCCGTTACTGGACTCAGAACCGGTTTATGTCAATGACCCGACCCACCTCAACTCACACTGCAACTCGACTTTACACCAAATCTCTCTAGTTCATAGTAAGAAATCATTAATATCTCATTACAATTTGGCTAGAGCATAGCCATAAGGCCTATCGTGCAAACTGGTATTAGATAAAAAAAAAAAAACGATTATAATTTAGTTTAGACAACTGTTGTGTTGTACGGGGAGTTCTAAGATGATGCCTGGTATAAAATAACATGCAAACTAATAACATTAGACTTCTCATCCCAATGTAAATTTTGAAACATATTTTTGTGTCTAGTTCATGTACGGTGACACTGGGTGCTAGTGTCAACAACATTTTGTTTCTATTATTTTTGGGTTAATTTCTTGATTTGTGCTTTACTGTTTAGTTATGTAACTAGGGGACAAGTTATTGTTTATGATTGGATCGTATTATTTGGTTAAACGAGGTTATAAATGACTGTAATATTGTAAACAAAACACGACCTCTACATAAACCATACAGAACTAACAATAAAATTGTCTTCAGCTGTTCCATAAGGATGAGAAATCTAGCTAGTAACTATTCATGTTTAATGTTTACTTACCACATATAGGAGGAAGGTCTATTACTGAATTGTGGTGGAAGTTGTAGCAAAATATCAGCTGAAAACAAAAAAAAATGAGTCAATAATTTCACACCATTATATTCATTATATTTACATATCATTCTTATAAGTTAAATACCACTCATTTTTAATAGTCAATAACTAACGATTGCGCATAATAATCTCAAAAAACAGCTCCTATGATTATAAAAAATATCTATCCTACACTCTGTTCTGGGAATATTAGTTGAAAACTTTAATATATTTTACTAAATTGTAACAAATCAGTAGGACATTACAAAGGAAAATGCTACATTTGGTATGTATGATGTATTACTAAGAAAAGGGTAATTACGACTGTTAAAATGTACACTATCTATATCTATAAAAGATTAAGTATGTATGTATAAGTAATACTCTATAGACTCTGAAACCACATGACAGATTGTAATAAAACTTACAGGCATTATTAAGCATTATTCAAGGATGGTTTGTATTAAGTTTAGTACAGACCCGTCAAAAGGGCTCTACCCTAGTGATTTTTAAGGGAATTTTACAACTACAATATAATGTTTATGTATGTCTAGATGACATTTTGTATTTTTAAACAAAATTGACGCATTGTTCCACGATACCAGTGATACCAGTGACTAACGCAATAACGATCAACAATATATTAGATTAATTATTCACATGAAAAAATGTATTCTGTAAATTAAGAATGAGTGAACGACTTATTTACTTACAATATATATTTATACTTACAATATTTATCAATAGGGATTCTAAAGATTAGTAAAAAGGAAAACGGTTACTTACCAAATAATATAGGTAGTGTTGAAAACAGGGTACATGAGACGCTCTCCAACCATAAACTGAAATAAAATATTATATCAATATTTTATGTCAACTCAACAATAAATAATACTGAAATGTGAAAGTTTGTGTGTTTGTTTGAAGTTCAATCACACATTAACAAATGGACAGATTGAGCTGAAATTTGGCATGATGATAGCTCATATTCCCAATTAACATATAGGCATATTCTTATCTAAAAGAACTCCACCCCAGTGGCTCTGTAGTTCCCCATGTTAACATTATGAGGGAATTAAAGAATTTAGTCAGCTGTTGGTTCTATGATATACAAAAGTATTAAAAAGTTATTGGGTGCAGCATTATATATGACAACAGCTAATTTAAACTAAGCAGCAACAAAAAACTGTAGTACACAGTAAAAACTAACTGGCAAAATAGGAATGTTTACAGCTAGCCTATTTTTAATTGCATGAATAATTTGTGATATTTTGGAATCTTTAATAATCTTTTTTTTCTCTATTTTTTAGGTGAAGTGCTAGAACATGA